AAGAGAACTCCAATCCAGATCTTTTTTGGGGGGGTAGGGTGAGGGAGGAAAACCAGTAGATTTCACAAAGCTTCCTCCTCTAGGCTACACTGGATTCTCTTCCTTTCCTAAATTTCTCTCTGGGACCACAAGGCACTGTACCCCCCATCCAGAAACCAAGAACTCAGAGGTCAAAGCTAATAAGCCTGAGGTTCAGGATCTCCAGTTTTAATGAAAAGGGTTTCCCAGGGCCCTAGCCTGGCAGGGGAGATTAGATCCTTGGAAGGACATGGCAAGCTTCAGTGCCCAGCAGGCTAAGAAATGGGCATCTTCCAGCCACCTGTCCATTCAGACTGTCCCTCTACTTCCAGTTTCCTTGCATGTCACTGTCTTCATTTGGGAGCCCAAACACATTAAAACTTGAACCTTGTCCATAACTAGTGTCCTCTTGATGGTTGTCTGCTTGGGTTGGGCAATCATTCAAGAGGAAGCCTTGGATTCCCTAATACCTAGAGCCCTAAGGTTTAGAGCACCTGAATTATGGCACTGGACCACAAGCCTGATGCTCAGTCTCCCAGAATCATCACCAGGTAGCTCCAGAGCTGAAGGGGGCGCCAGAACCACTTAAGCTCAGCTAGCCCCAGAGGGTGAGTGACTTTCCCATAGTGACAGACCTTGTAGCCATGGAGACATAAGAGTCGGTCTTCAAGGTACTAGAGCGCAACCCCTCCTTAGGGTGAATGAGTAGCTGAGGAAGCAGTGGGAATACTTATGTTTTCCAAGTGGCCTGACCCTTGTGGGACCCATGGGACCAGGAGCTGCTGCTAAGTAGACTTACATTCAGAACAATGAGAAATCAGGCAAAGAAGAGTCCAGAAATCGGGGGGGGGGGGGGAACACAGGACAATCTCCATGGGTGGAAATTTCCCTTTTCCTAGTTGCTCACAGGATCAGAAGTTAGGATCACCTCCTTTTCTTGCTTGAGTTCTCTTCCCACAAGGTGGCTAAAAATCAGGTACTTACTCATACACCCGTGGTGACAGGGAACCCACTACTTTCCAGGCAGTCTTGATCATTTTGTATACATGCAAAGTTAGCCTTTGGATTTCTATGCTTCCAGAGGGCATGGGGTCAGGGTTAATTATGCAAACAGATTAACTTTTTGAAAGCAAACAGTCTAGGCCTCTCTATGTACTCCCATCACCCTAGTGTGTGCTGTCTAACCCATTTTAAAACAAACTAACCCCTCTAGGCGCAGGGCAGCAAGTCCCAGACAAAATAATCTACAATCTTCTCTGTCCTGGAGACACCCTTGGTCTCTTGCATCTGAATTCACTCTTCAGATTTTTTTGTTTGTTTGTTTGGTTTGTTTTGTTTTTTGAGATAGGGTTTCTCTGTGTAACAACAGCCTTGGCCATCCTGGAACTCACTCTGTAGACCAGGCTGGCCTCGAACTCATCAATCCTCTGCCTCTGCCTCCTGAATGCTGGGATTACAAGCCTGAGCCACTGCCACCACCCAACTGGGTTTTGTTTTTGAGGACCTCATACATGAAGCTGATCTCAAATTTGCTGCACAGCTATCCTGTAACTCCTGATCAAACTGTTTCCACCTCCTAAGTACTGGCATTATAAGCAGGTGCCACTATGTCCTATTCTGGTTTTTTGAGACCTAGTCTTCCCCTGGCCTGGTATTATTTGGAACCTATTTCCATGTAAATTTAAGGTATACTCTGAGATGTTGATAACACAGACGAGGATGTAGAGAGTGAAGGAGCAGTGTCATGCCACCTAGCAAGTGGTGTGTGTGTGTCCACCTGATCACGGGTCCCCTGATTCCTACCCTTCTGAGGAATGGAGCTGAATCTGTCACAGGCATTAGCTCCCTGCTCCTCAGGAAATAGCTGGGACCAGAACCTCTGTCCCAATAGTCTGCCAGCCCTTTTCTCACAGGACCAGGGCTCCAACACCCATTCTGACCTCATTCTTCTCTGTTCTCCCTGCCCTCCCCTCCACCCCCAGCAGATAGGATTACAGGGGCCTGCCAACAGAGCTTCTTGCTTCTTAAGTTTATTTCACATTCTCTATTTTCCTTTGATCTCCACAAAAATCTCACAAGGTAAGCAGCAGGTGGCTCATTTCCTCATTTTGTAGGTGGAGAAAGAAAGGCCATGAGAAGCTAGGGCAAGTCTGGGTGAACAAATGGCACAGAATGGCCTGACCATCACACCCTGTGTTCCCTTTTCTTCAATGTTCAGGTTTCCCTGGCTACCCCCAGTCACTTCTCACCACAGCTCCTAAGGTTCAAGGGAGTGGCTGAATTATAGACAATGCAAATGAAATGCAAGATAGCATTAAAATCCGAGTAGCCCAGAATGTCAGGCTTTTGGTAACTGAGCTACAACTTAGGCTCCAGCCTCCTAGCCTGAGCCCCTTCCACATCCTAGCTCTGCAAACTCCCAGGGCTGAACTAAGGAAAGCTTTCTGCTCTCTCATACCCCAACATGAAGCCACTGATAAGTGCATCCAGGAATGGCTTTCAGAAGCCAAGATACTGTGGAAACTGGAGGAATGTTTCCAGTCTGGGGTGGACAGTCTGTGGGGTCAGTTCCCTGTTACTGAAGATATCTAAGCAGAGATCCCTCAAAAGGTCACAATAGAGATGAGCTCCTACCCACATGGCCTCATGACCAGTGTTAAGTTCCAGTCCCAGGGTGCTTGAAACTCAAAAGTACAGCCAGGCATCTTGCCTCTTACCTAGTCCAGTGCTCTATAACAACATTATGATCCTGCCATGGCCATACCAGCCATGTGTCCTTTTCTCCCTAAGACTCTATGTTGAAGGGTTGGCTTAGCTAAGCCCTGAAGTTGGGACAGGGGAATCCCGAGTTTTCTAGCTCCATGCTCTGGGAGCATTGCCTTGGGCAATTATAATTACTCAGGACCATGCTAGGAACAAGAAAGGTTACACCCAAGGCTCAGCATAGCTGCCCTCCTGATTTTCAAACTTTTTGCCTAGTCACTGTGACCATGCCCATGCCTGTGTCATGCCTGCCAAGCCCAAGTGAGCAGAGCAAGGAAGTGCACTGATGAGCCCGTGATCACCTCTGGACCTTAGAGAAGATTTGGTCACTCCAGTGTGGATGATGGGGTGGGGGTGGGGACTCCTTGAGGTTTAAGCTAGAACCAGTTAGTGATCCAAAGAAAAATAATGGTCCCCAAAGACCCAAAGACTTTGTTTTCTTTTCTTTTCTTTCTTTTTTCTTTTCTTTTTTTTTTTTTGAGATAAGAGCTCCTGTATCCCAGGCTGACCTCAAACTTGTCATGTAGCCAAGAATGACCTTGAACTTCTGGTTCTCCTACTGCCATCTCCCAAATCCAGGATGACAGATTGCTCTGCCACGTCGTGAGTGGGGGAAGTACTCTATTGCTCTTACCTCTCTCAAATCCACATAGTGCCCAGACTAGTCCAAGATCCTTTAAATGACAACCTGACTTCTACACACATACCTGTGAACACATATAGCACATGTCTGTGCATAACACCTCACCTTCACCCCTGCACACACATATCTGGATCTACTAGTTACATATGCACAAATATGTATAAAAAATATGTTATAATGGGAAGAGACTTACTGACTAAGGTTCTGAGTCTAGATTTGGAACCAGCCTACTCAGGGTGGGCAGCCCCTGAGTAACCAGAAAGTAGCCCCCTATTCGGTCTGCCTGTGAAACAAGATTGTACCTTCGGTTGCCTTGCCTGGTAGAGGAGTGCTGAGGCTGCACACACTTCAGATCCCCAAGATGCCCTATGAAAGGATTTGATGAGAGCCACAGAAGGTTGCTTGTGTGTGTGTACAGTACTGGTGTTTGAACCCAGGGCCTCCTGCATGTGAGGCAAGTGCCCATCCCTGAGCATCACCCCAATAGCCCGCTTACTTTATTACTATCCTTTTTTTTTTCCCCCAAGACAGTGTTTCTCTGGCTTTGGAGGCTGCCCTAGAGCTAGCTCTGTAGACCAGGCTGAGGCTGGCCTCGAACTCACAGAGATCTGCATGCCTCTGCCTCCCAAGTGCTGGGATTAAAGGTGGATCCTACCACCGCCTAGCAGTTTACTACTATCTTTAATTCAGCTCTGGTTTCATGGAATTGGGTGCTTGGAGCGAGTCTCTTCCTCTCTGGACCTCCATTTTCCCATCTATCAAAGGAGATAGTTGTGCTAGGAGACTTCAGTCTCTCTCTCTCTCTCTCTGCTTTTCCAGACATGGTTCCTCTGTGTATCTTTGGAGCCTATCCTGGAACTCGATCTGTAAACCAGGCTGGCCCTGAGTTCATAGAGATTCACTTGCCTCTGCCTCCCAGAGTGCCAGGATTAAAGGTGTGTGCCACCAGCACCGGGCCTCAACCTCCCTCTCATGTCCTGGGTATAAATTGGACCTCCTCACAGTCCTGCAAGCAGGTAGATCTTGTCCACAGAAACAGTGGCTCCCCCAAAAACGGGACCTGGAAGGTATAGCTGTACCAAATACCCGACTGTATGTCCTAGGGTGTAGGGCAGGAAGACCAGGTGGATAACCAAGCCATTGTTAGTGGATCAGGTTTTGGGAGTTTCACTCACTAGGGATGCAGGCAAAAGGCAATACTGCTTCTGTACCCTGGGATCAACTGACAGGGGGGCAGAGACCAACAGGCAAGTGCCAGAGCTTTTCCAATCCCCAGCATTCTGCACTACCATGGCAGGAGCCTGCCTCTTACCTAGCTCCTCCACCAGGCATGGCAGCAAATGTCCTGACCAGGAGACACTTTGACATCGTGGCCATACGCCTTTTTGGCACCCATTGTTCCCCCTCTGGTGCCTAGATCCTCTCAGGCCTGGCTATGCATACCCTTCCCCGGGATCAGCTGCCGCACCCCAACCCCCGTGCCTCCCCCAGAAAGTCGTGGTGGGGAGGGAGACCAGACTTCCGCGGTTAAAAACTACTCCTCCCATAGCCACGGATCCCGAGAGAAGGGCCTTACCCAGAACTTGGAACCGGAGCCGCACAGGCGGTCCATGTGGCTCAGGTGCACGGCAGGACTGAGATCTCGGTTCAGTGCAGCCCCCGAGCCACCTCGGACTCCCAGCTCGATCGATCTGCACTCCTCCCGGCCCCGCCCTTGGGTCCTCCAGTCAAGTTCTCCCAGTCTGTCTCAGCGATTGCAACACAGCTCGGCTCTCCGCCTCAGTAAAAACTGCAGTTACCTAAAATCACAACGCTGGAAAGGACTATAGATTGCCGAAGGGTAGTTGACAATACTAGTCCCCTCCGGCGGTCCCTGAGCTTCTAGACCCCAGAGCTGATAGGCCTGAGAATGAATCTTCATTGGTTTTCTAGTGGGATCTAAAACGCATGTATTTTCAACCCAGTCAGAAAGACTGGATTGGAGAGGCATTTTGCAATCTTCTCACTGTAAAAGAAGTCCTCTATAAAGGCAGGGTCACTTCCGACTTTGTAAACACAGGATGATCTCGTTTCATTATCTAATATGTGGAGTGCTTGTGAAGCCAGTTTCCCTCTTCCCCACAAGTTGTCAGAGACAACTGTCAGACACCAGCACCTATGTGTGATATGTGTATGTCCATATATATCGCAGCAGAGTGAGGCATAAAGTTGGTCCCAGGATCAAATAGATGGGTGTGTGGCTTCCTTGTGGTCTTCTTAAGTTGCTGCCTTCTGAAGCTCTGTGGCTCCTTAGTCTTGCCCAGGACACTTCTGCACCCTACTTTTGGACTGGTAAAGTATGGTTAATAAAATCCTCCTCATTGGCTTTTCTGGAGATCCAACAGAAAAGTATATAAAGCATATGTATTGCAGATAACATGTTAATTCTCTTTCAGCCTGGCCAGGGATGGGCAGTGAGACCCCAGGAAGAGCCCCATACTAGCACACTTACCTTAACAAGGAGCCTCCACATTGTCAGTCTTCAAAACAGCCTTCCCAGCTTGGCTGTGCTGGGATCCCCTCCATCTCTCTCTTTCCTAATAGGATCCCAAATCACTGATCCTCCCTGGAGTTGAACAGAAATCTTGGTCTAATTTACCTGTCTTTACCTGCTCCTGGGGTTGGTGTGTGTGTGTGTGTGTGTGTGTGTGTGTGTGTGTGTGTGTGTGTGTGTGTGTGTGTGTGTTGCTTGGCCTCCCTTAGTGCTTGTTTCCCAGACAGGACAGGGTATTTCTAGCCTCCTGGGGTTCAGTGTAGATGCTGAAGGGATCCAATAAGACTGTGCTGAAGCATTCATTTCCTACCCCTCTGGGCAGGCAGGAAGTCCTGAAAGCCAGAATAGAGTTGAATGGGTAGAGTGAGGTGGGTATCGGGGGATGAGGTGGGTCCCACTTCCTGGGTGGGATTCTCTCAGCCCTCTGTCCTTTTCTCCTCCTCCTTCCCACCCTGCCTTCCCCACCCTTCTGTACAGAAGGCTTTAGGAGCTTTCATATCTTGTCAGTGTGATTTTGGTTGCATTTACTTGTGAAAGGACCTCAGGGCAGCCGCCAACTGAGTCACCACTACTTTCCCTCCAAGCCTCAGGTAGTAACTTTTGTGCACTACATAACATTAACAGGCCTCTCATGTCTCTGGGACCAGTTGCAAAGTGAGCAAAGCACCATGGAAGCTCTCTTTCTACCTTGTGATCCAGGCCCAGAGCATCTTGGAATGAGCCTCGAAGCCTTCCGTTAACCTTGAACATGACTTTCCCAGCAGCACCCTTGCCTGGCATTTTGCTACTGGCTCTCTCTTAGAGCCTGGCCTTCTGGTACCCTTTAGGAGGTGAGTTCCTCCAGGTGACCCTTCTGGTACCTTGGGACCTTCCAGCTCAAGGTCAGTGTGGAGTCCACTGGTTAGCGCTCAGATTTGAGGACAGGAGTCTGGCTTCAGTACTGGAACAAAAGACCTGCTCTGTGACATCAGCCTTTCCTTCCCAAGTCTCCCCATACAGGTGGAAGGCTTCAAAGGCAACATGCAGTCCCTGGCTATCCTTGCCTTCCCCCCACCACTGGCCTCTTATGGAATGTGGCCTCTTTCACACAGTCCTTGAAGAACAAACATAGCGTTTGTATGACATCATTGTTTTGGTTGATTGGCTCACCAGAGCAAGAGATCTTAGACTTTGGGGCATCCCATGGTTTGCCCAGATCCTCAGAGCTTCATTTGACACAGCCCTCTTCTCCTGTAAACAGCTTCTGCATATGGCTACTCCAGGCAGCTCCCTGGACCAGATGTATTTCCTAGCCCTTGGCTATTGTATCCCAGCCCCTAGCCCACCTTCCGAGCTACTCTGCAAGACTCCACCAAACTCTGTTTATTCTTCAAGATATCTGTCAATACTGGACATGGTATCACAAACCTGTAAATTTGGGAGATGGAGAAAAAAGATCACAGGTTCAAGGCCTGCCTCAGCTATGTGGTGTGGGACTAGTTAGTCTATGCTATATGAGAACCTGCCTATTACAATAACAAAGTCCCCTATATCACAACCACTGCCTCTCAGAGGACTGTGAGCATCTAGTATTGAGACCGAATCTTGTTGATCGTAGCATTGTTCAGCACCCAGGGCATGAGTGCTTGGCTGAGTCCTCTGGGAGTTTGTCATCTGACTAAACATAAAAGAAGAAAGACTTACTCTTGGAGCATTCTTCAGTGAAGACAGGAACAGCATTTCAAGGAGGAGGCAAGAGAGCATGACCACAATCAGATTGAAATCCAGTAGAGTTTGTTGTTGTCTTTCGGTGCCAGCTTGAATGGTCTGACTTTCGCAGTCATGCTGGGGTCCAAAGAGGTCCTGAAGGAGAATGCGCGGATACAGAGCCTGGGAACTGATCAATGGGGCAGCGGGAGAGGAGCAACCAGCTAGCGGATGGGTTCTTGGGGGAGTTTATATGAAACCATTAGTTTTTGTAAAATCTCTTCCTTCTTAAGATGTTTTCCCACAGTTTTAGGGAGGGAAATTGAAAAGAATGATTTAAAATTTTTTAAAGTTTAAGTTACTTTGGCAAGTGCCTCTTGAGCAGCCAATCCCTTATCCCTGCCTTTCTGTTTATGCATTTGATTTAAAAAAAAAAAAAAAAGCAATAATGAGATTGCTTAGTTATGGTGGGGGTGGGGAAGCAAAAAAAAAAAAAAAAGAAGAAGAAGAAGAAATGAAAAGAAAAGTTTTACATCTATATGCAGGACTATTGTTTGTTTCAGTTTGTTTTGGGATTCCCAAACAGGGAGAGAGTTGATAAGTGTCTGCAAACAGCTCAAGCAGACTCATGTCTTTGAGAGGTAGTAAAGACATAGCCTGAAAAAGTATTGATGCAAACGTGAACAATTTTTAAAAGATCAAAGAAATTTGTGTGAATTACACTCAGTTGTCAAAGATCATTAGGACAAAGATCCCAGGGATTGATTGCTCTCGGGCTGGTGATGGAGGGACCCAACAAATGACAGTCATGGCAGGACCAGACAGTTTGCTGAGTTTGTATCTGTGATACTGAATTGTTTCTGCGAAGCTCTGGCTACTTGATGAGAGGCAATGGGGGGAAGCAGCTTGTAGAAAGAGACACGACAAAGTGGTCAGCACTGTGATTTTCTTTCACAAGGGCCATCCTGCACGGCATTGAGTGTGTTGAATAAAAATAGGATGAATTCATCTGTGAAGGAAGATTTGGATAGAGTTAAATGCTGATATCAAAAAGTTTGAGGTGTGAGCCAAGGTGGCCTCGTGATAGCTAAAGAAACTCCATTTCATGCTGGGCATCCATCTTGGTACCCACCAGCCATTTGGCACGCAAGCCCCTGGAAGATAAGTTCCCAGTGACCCTGAATAGGTGACCCTGACCCAGAAATATATAGCCATGACCATCTACTTGTTACGATATGACTAATTGCCTTTTGGCTTTTGTAATTTGCTTATGCAGACACCCAGAGATTATTGTGGGTAGCCTTGACCACTTAACTTGGCAGAGCAGACCAGTTTTTGCTTGCTTGTGTAAATACCGAAGGTCTTGTGTTTTTTGCCTTTAAAAAACCTTGTCCTGCTGGGTGGTAGTGGTACACACCTTTAATCCCAGCACTCAAGAGGCAGGGACAGGTGGATCTCTGTGAGTTTGAGGCCAGCCTGATCTACAACGTGAGTTCCAGGACAGCCAGGGCTACACAGAGAAACCCTGTCTCAAAACAAACAAATCATCAAACACACAAAATAAATAAATAAAGTAAAAATCCCTTCCCATACCCTTTCTTCATGACAAGCCTGAGATTTGGCTTTAAGGCTGTTGTCCTGCTAGTAGCTAATCAATAACTCCTTTAATTATAATTGAATTAAGTCCATGGTATTTTCCCAGGGGCAACAACCTTCATAACAGCTTGAAATAAAAGTGGGATGCCTTGAGCCACATAGTGAGAAGCAGTTTGTAAATTGAAAGGCTGAGCAAGGATTTGTTTGAAGGCAGTGAAAGTTCTGCCCGCTGGGTGGGGATTGTTTGGGTGGGGGTGAGGTAACAAAAGAGTGCCATATTCCGGCATCATCACACCATGGGATGGCCTCTTTGGCTCTGTCTGAGAAATGATAATGCACCAGAGACAGGATGTGTACTTGTGGGAGAACAGGCCCATAAGGGAAGTAATAAAATTCCGCAGATTTTTATAAGGGGAAGATGAAGGAGAGTCCCTCCCCCCATCCCCCCAACACCTCCCCCATCAAGAAAACCAGTAAAAGTTATTTGCTATTCTTCTGAGGTCTGTGAGAGAAAGTTGAGATTGTCTTGAGACACAAAAGGGTAAGATTGTCAGGGTTTGTCCAGTGAGTTAAGCAGTTCTGCTTCTGCCTTGAGTAAGAGTGATTGTTAAGTAAACACTTTTTGAGTAAAAATGTTTTTTGCTTAGGTATACCAGGAAGAAACAAATGTTTTCAAATGCCAACAGGGGAAGGTAATTGCCCAGGGGCTACCCTAAAATCTAAGGGCCTATGAAAAAGTTTGTTGAAGACATGGAGTGATAAATTGTGATTGTTGCAATGCAAGGAGGTGGAGTATGAGGTGAGGTTAAGCCAGGGTCTCCTTTAAGAGAATCAAACAGGTGAGAAAATACAGTGGGGAATTCCTAA